ATGTAATACATCCTTAATATAGCTTTGTAAAATTGCAGAATACTGTTCACTTTTGACCAGTGGCTGTAGAAGTGGAGTACTCATTCATACGCAAGAGTAATAACGAGGGTCATGCAGTGTCATGCAAAGTGTTGCTGTACATTTATTTGAAAGTCAAACGCTAAAGCAATTTCTAGTACTAATCGTTCATAGTTTTAACCATAAATTGGATAAAATTTACTTTATTTACAATATATTTCGAAACAGTTGCATTAAAGTGTTTCTTATAAAACTACAACAAAATTTATGTAAAAATACAGAATTTCATAAAGTGAAGTTCTTTTTCGATAAAACAGATAAAAGCATCATTACATTAGACGAAATATTCTTTCTTAAAATTTACATAAATAAAACACTATTCTTTTATTACATTTATGAAATGGATAAATATATCCAAGTTGCTGATTTTGCACAAGGCATCTTTTAATAAATTAATCGTTGCTGTGCAAGTAAAAGAGTAAAATTTATGTTTAAAAGTAAAAATTTTGCGTTGACTTCCCATAAATCGTACAGTCTTATAAACGCTACAATTCATGCACTTAATTTCATTTTTGTCTACGTGTAACTCAATTTTTCCTAAGTGCTTTGAAACTTCATAACTGTAATGATCTAAGCTTTTAAGTGTGCGCTCACTTCCAGAAGATCTTCAGCAAATTTTCTATTGTTGAATTTTTATATTCAAATTTCTAATTTCTAATTTAGAAACTTTAAGTGTCCAAATTTTAAATAAATTTCTTAAATTTAGTTTTAACGTTCATTGAACTTTAAAATCCTTATTATTAAAAAACTTTAAATTCTTTACAATTTGTAGAGCTTTAAAAATGTATGTACATATAGATTGAAATAGAAGTTTTAATTATATCGTTACCCAATCTTTATATCATTTTAGTATACGAAGTGTCTAAGATTTATGAAACAGAGTATTGCTTAACAGATACGTTTGTTTCGGGAAATGTGCGCATATGCTGCCAGGTAACTTCCGGAACTCGAGAAGATCATCTTCGCTGCTCGTCGATCGATTCTCTCTGCGTCTGTCGGCCTTGTCTGTCGGATGTACATGCTGCAACCATGCCTTCTAAGGTAGAATGTTTTCTATCGTACAAGCTCGCCTTCTATTGCGGACTCGATTATCTCCCATCTTTCTCATTTCAAGTATGAGGATGTTTTTTTAGAACGGACAAGAGGTGTCTACGAGGAAGTAACGCCGTTATAGAGTGAGAATAGTGAGAGACAAGTGCAATAGGTAAGAGAATCAGGCTAAGTGAAAAAGTGAAAGAGAGAGAGTAGAGAGAGAGAGGGCGGGGGGAGAGAGAAGTATGATGTAAAAGAGTGAAGAAAAGAGTCGTGATTCGGTAGCTTTGACACAATCAAGGAAGCGTTCTGCTAAATTGATTAAATTGCACGACAAATGCACGCCATTTGTTATTATAATGTCATCGATATCATCATATAATTATTATTTTATATTGTGATTGCATCACAATACATCAATATTATTTTGTATGCGTTTATATTTTAAAAGCTATTGTATAGCATGTTACTGTTTACTGCATACATAATTGTGTTAGTATTAATATGCAAATTATATTTTACGAAAGTACGCGCAAAAGACATAAAGAACAAATTCGATTCGAAAGAATTTCTGTTTAACATTTCTGTTATAAATATATAATGGCTCATTGAATTACTCAAATTTCAAGATTATACATTTCAGAAATTATGTGAAAAGAGTTGTGCTATTTTACTTACTCAATTGTTTATCTAAACTTTAAAAAATGCTTGAAATTCTTATATACGTTAATGTTTTTTACATAATATGTCGTGCACAATCGGCGTCCATAACTCGTGCAATTTTATTGTGCTTCTTTATAAGTTTTCGCATTGAACGAAACTCGACCAGTCGCGTCGAACATTGTCGCATTAGAATAAGAGAAACGTCATAAGTGAGGTGCATTGTTGTGAGAAAAATTCGAGAGCTAGAGTATCCACATTTTGTTTCTTTTCTTTTCGTAATATTAGGGTAAATGGTAAAACCATCATCGATGTTCCTAGACGACAGTCGAGTACATGCAGCGCGGTAACGCCGAAGAAGAAATTTAATTTATGTTCTACTTATCAATTTAAAACTGAAACGTATTTTTTCCAATTTTAAGAGTATTAAAAAATGAGCAATAAAAGCTTACAATGAACCATGTAATTGCCAATTATGTGAAGTATCAACAATGGTAAATTTAAGCAAGAAATATTACTTAAATATGATTTAATAAGAATAATATAATTTAAGTAAACAAGTGTTACAAAAATAATTGAATTCCTTAATAGAATTATTGTATTATATCACATTTTGGTACAAACGTGGCGTCTATCGCTCAAATTTATTACTTAAACAGATAATTTAAATTTCGATACTTTATTTTGTATTTTAATCGTCTGTTTTTTCCAATAAAATTCCTTCCTCAGAGTTTATGTTACGAATGTATTGCAATGATGCTAGTCGTGCTTGCTCAGAGAGCAACTATAATAATAAAGAACTCGGACTCGTGCCGAGATCATCAACGAAATCGATTAGATAGTTGGGATGATTTCTACACGAGAAACGCCTAGGTACTATCGATGCTGTCTAAGGCCAGTAATCGGAACGAACGACGCACATAATTTCGACAAATCTTGCTATAGAAAACGAGAAGATTTCATTTTCTAAATTAGTTTTACTTTAATAATAATTATCTAATCTTACTGCTAATTTCTCAAGATAAGTTTATAATAAAATTTATTATCGTGCTATTTAATAGCTCCATTTTGGTTTTATTCAGCTTTCATTTAAAAGCATAATTTTGTGTGCGACCTAGATGTCTTATATTGCTTGCATTTACCCTGAAGGGCCTATCTCCCTGAGAAAAACTAAGTCGGTGAATAAAATTAATTCAAACTACATTATAACGAATAATACAAATGTCTTATAAGAATACATAAATATATTTTTTACTTGCAGACATCTACTTTCATATATATTCTTTTTCAGCATCTAACACGTACCGAACTTTCTCATTTTCTATTATGCATGTAGCATCTATCGTATGATATGCAACTTTGATAACATTTTTATATTATACAAATGTAATGTATTAAATTTCTATGCGATTTAATCGGATCACACGCGTTTTAAAGAGGCACGAAATTAATGATAATGATGCACGTCAATCGTCCACCGTTCTATATATATATATATGCGCTTTTGCTTTCTTTCTTTTATATCTCAAAGGCGCTAGCCTTCAGAATCGAAGTCAGTTCTATCGTTCGTTCCGACGAATGGTCGTGTCGACTCGCTAGAATTTCTACGAAGGATATGATTGGACACCACTGCGATGGGTGGATCGAATTAATTGGTGTTATACGATGTGAATATTGCAACGTTCTACAAAGCAAGCGGAGGCCCCTAAGACGGCTGAACGTAGAATAAGGATGGTCGACAGGATCAGCAGGAGTACGGGATTCGAGCGCGAGGTCGGGGGTACACGATTGCACATATCCTCCTCACAGAAGCACATGTGACCAGTGCCGGTACTTTCCATCATGCACACGTGGTCCACCATGAATAAGTTTATTTGTAGTTGCGCAGTGCAGGTTCTCCTCACGCTCTCGTACGCTGTAAGTAAAAGAGAACAAATAAATCCCTGTCCAGGGTAAAAATCTAATATATTAATTGCAATTATTTTTACAATCTTCAAAAGAACGGTAGAATTCCAATACATGTTATTACGATAATGTTTTAGTAACTAATTGCCATAAGACCATCATTTATTAAGACGTTTGAGCGACACTAACACATGGGAACATTGAGAATCCGAACATTCTAATTTATGTGTGTAAAGTAGCTGTTTACTTTTCCCGATAGAACTCGAAAATTATACGAAATGTTAAAAAATGTTGTATACACAAGTTTTACGATGAAAACACCTCTATTTAACCACGTTGATAAAATTTTGAAAAATAATCCCCCTACATATGTATAAAGTTTCATCAAGATCAGAATTTTTGTGTTCGTGATGTTACCATAGAGATTGAATTCTCTCGTCTCTCGTCTCGTCGCTCTCGCCGCTCGTGCGTTGTTTCGCTTACAAAGATAAGATTTGTTTACGTTGCATCATGCTACACGCTCCAATATCATAGTGCAAATGTTAAATATACAATGTGAAATCGAAAGATTTCTGTGATTATATGCTGGTTTTTTCCAAAGTCATGTTCTATTACAAGAAGACGCAAAACGTATTGCCTGAAGTCGGTCGCATGGGCGGGCTAAGTAGCTTATATAAAGAGATGTTTGTAATTATTTTTGGAAAATAGTTAATCAAAACACAACTTTATCATACACGATTGAATTCGTCACAAGAAAATTTCAAAATTTAGAAAAATTGTTTTGAGTGGTGAGAGTGTTTTGAAAAATTAAAAGTGTTTTTATCGCAATTTTATAGTACTCCTAAAAACCATTTAATTTTTATTTGAAAATTTTTGTTATCTCCTTTTCTATTTCTAGTTTCGAAGTTATTTGCACCAAATGAGAAACACCAATTTTTTTTTTCAAAGTGTCCTTAGAATCGTTTTTTTTTGCAGCAACTAATATTTTCTAAATTCATCCATTTACCCTCCCTACATATGTGCGAAGTTTCATAAAATTTTCAGGTCCGCGAGGTGCCTTTGTAAGTTCCTTTTATTTAAAATGTAGGTAAAAATGCACAAACACGGAACCAGTCCCTATGACCTTGATTCTGACATATGTTGTCAAGGTCACCCTCCTGAGTGACCCTCAAAAGGTTTTAGTTCTTGCTCGTTGTTTGTTAAAAAATTAGGCCCGATATCTCAAAATTTACGGAAGTTAGAGCAACCACGGACATTCAAATCCGTACATACATACACACACACATACACACATACACACACACATACGGACATTTTATAAAAATGTAATTTTTGGACGTTTTAAAACATTTTAAACATATTCCCAAAGAAAACTAGAAAAAAAATTTTTCACGAAAACAAAGCTTCCTCTATAAGGAAGTAAAATTATTGACAAAAGAAGTTTAACGATTCCGTATAGATTTCTTTGCTTTAACCCTTTCAGGAGTACATTTTTGTGGCCAACCAATAATGAAGGTTATGGTGGTTCTTTAGGTTTTTAGGATCGCTGATCATGATTCTGGAGTCAGCAATGCAAAATTCAAAATGGCGAATCCAAGATGGCGGACCGAAATGGGAAAAGTTGACGAATTCCCGCGAAACATCGTACTTAGAGGTTTTTGCTGTCGCTGATTACGAATCTGAAGTCAGAATTAGAAAATATAGTTTATCTACGATGGTGGACCCAATATGTAGACAATTTTTACTTGAATTGGCAATTTTCCGTTAAAGATATAATAGATCCACGATCTCGAATCCACTGTACTGAACGTTATAATCCTGACTTGCAATTCGTGATCAGCGACCCCGAAGATCCTTCATCACACATTTTTATGAGAATTTTTGCTCTCTTTGTTTGTCGTCTTAGATCCACCATTTTGAATTTTGTTATTTAAAAATCATATTCGTATTCAGCGATTCCAAAAACCTCCATATACAGACTTTCAGTCAAATTCTTCGTGAAATATCTCCGTGACCAAATTTCGATTGAAGAATCGTACGTTTTTTGACATAAATTATTTATCAACAATTGCATGAAATTAATGAATATCAACAGAGCTTAGGATTTCATAGTTTAGGTATCTAGAGCTTATAGAATCTTGTTTGAGCATTATTGATGCAGAAATAGACTTATACTAATGAAAAATCCGATTATCATGAGGTAGGACGTACATAGTACGTCCCGCTGCCTCGCAAAGGGTTAATTAAATTCTGTGCTTTACGAGCAAATTTGTATGGAGAATATAAATCGAATTTTATAAAGTACATCCGTGGACATAATGGGTTCTACCTCTCGCTTTGCGTAGAAAGTTGTAAACCTATGTGGGACTTCCGTATTTCGGCGAAACGTTGTCCACCCAAGCGAGGTCCACCCACCCTACCGGCGGGATGGGCGCGGAAAGGGAGGCTTTTGGCCGCCCTTGCACTCCCCGCGCGTGTGTGTGTGTGCCTCTGAGCCGGGGGCTGAGGTGTTAGATGTTAATATGTAGAATAATTACCCTTTTTCAAGATCGCGTAAAGAGACTGCCTTTACTATTAATTCAAATTTTCGCGAAACCCCTCGCAATTTTGCGAAAATACGAATTATGCGATTCTACGACGACATCGTGAAATTAAACTTTTGGTAAAGCAGAGAATACTCGTATATTTGAACGATACTTGATCGAATCACGATATAATGATATCCCGACCCATGTAGAGTCCCAGTTTTGCTTGAAATTCACAATATATTGATATCCTGTCCCATATAGAGTCTCAGTTTTGCTTGAAATTCAACACAAATCAACATTTTAAATCTTGTTGAGTCCCAGTTTTGCTCCCGGATAACTCCAGTGTATTATCTGCTTTACCTGAGTATAACCCGGCTAAAACCTTCTGAGGGTCACTCAGGAGGGTGACCTTGATAACATGTGTCAGGATCATTGGGGCTGGTTTCGTGTTTGTGCATTTTTGTCGAAATTTTTCAAATTCAAGAAGTCAAAGCGTAGTCTGATTTAAGCCCGGTTTCAAACGTCGTTTAACCTTAATTTTAGTTTAATTCATGTTTGTCCTTCCTAAGGTAACAGTTGGAAATATACAAAGAATGGATTAAGAAATTGATGAAATTCGTATGGTTCAAATGTGTGATAAACACAAATTTGAAGGAATAAAGGACTAAGAACCGTGACAGGGTGTTGGTGTCTAAATATTTAATATTCTAAATTTATTGCGAGGTGATATTTTTCGCAATAAATTTAGAATATGAAATATTTAGACACTAACATCCTGTCACGGATCTTGCTCCTTTATTCCTTCAAATTTGAATGAATTAAGCTTAAAGTTAAGCGACATTAGTGAAACCGGGCCTTAGAGAAAACTGAATAGATGGTTTAACATTCTCTAGAGAGAGAGAGAGAGAGAAAGTGAATTCCTCACAACAAAGATAGGAAATACTTACGTGATTTTGCATTGCGGACCATTTTTACGCAGCATCCGTTACACGTCATCAGCGGTGGCTGGTCCCTGGGTAGTGCCGTATAGTTGAAAGGATCCTTGCATCTGAGATCCGTCCATGAATCGCATTCGTAGCAATAAATTTGACGAGCTGTGAAACAGATGTGCGTTCAAGTATCACGTATCATCTCTATCGCACTCGGAAAAGAATGTACGCCAAGTCAAAAGGTATAATAGATAATCTATCTATAACAGCTATCTACTTTGAATAATGTCCAATGTGTTCCCAGCTTCCATCCCGTATTTAGTGCTAAACATGACCCTCTGACATTTTGTTATTAACAAATTAATAATAAATTTGTAAAATTACTTATGAATCATTAATGTATTTACAATGTATGTATACGAAATTACAGACAAGCGCATTACGAACGAACCTGTAAATAGTAAGCTTTAAACTATACAGCCATATTTAACGCTAAATAAGCAGTTTTAGTAGACTTAAAATAAAAAGCTGTTATCGTAGGAAAGCGACCAACTAATCAGCTCGAAATCATTAGGTACGTAATTTGGAATTGTTCGATTCGGGTGAATTGTTTAATATGGAAAATTTTTCTATACTTTGCGGTCACATAGTTTCCCGAGTGCACATCTTTCATATAAGATTTTACGTATCGATGAGCGCGCGCGCGCGAGTTCTAAAAACGGGATATTAAGCACCGTTCTCTTTTCACAGCGCAATAGGGAAGCACAAACGCTTATAGTAGTTGTGTTCGATAAAACTGGACGAGAATAAGATTAATTTGCGTCCAGTCCAAGTTACACTTGTGATTTACCAAGATCTCTTATGAGAATTCAAGACATTCTATTGTTGAAATAACTATTTGCTTCATGAAGCAAGACATTTTTCGTGCGATTCCCGTCCAGCTCGGGGCGAAAGCAATCTCGACCGGATAATTCCCGACGGAGAGCGCTCTCCCACCCTAAGGTGGATACTCTGACAAGAGTACACTTGGCCGCGGACGCATCGAGCTTCATCGACCTTCATCGAGTCTCTAGCGAACGAGTCCGACGACACGGTACGGGCATACCGAGTAGAGTAAGCTGGCTTAATCACTCACTCTGGCACTCCGCATGACAGACGTTGGCAACCGCGAGTACAATTGCCGCTGAAACGAAAGATTCGTTACTTGCTTTAGGTAATGTGCGTAGGCAGGGTGCGCAGGTTGCTAGCTTAAGTAACTCGGTGTGATCTGTGGTAACGCAAGCGACAGGACTAGCGCTATTGTACAACGGCTACGGTGGCTGCGACTACAATTACAACCGCTACTATCTCTATAGCGCAGCTCTAGCATACCGGTATTAACGATGTTGGGGACCGCTGATAGTTGTGCTTAGCTAATAACGCTACCACTCGATTGATCAAAGGGGGACCGTGCGGCAGTCACGTCCAGATTTTTCGGTTCGCTGGATGATTCTAATCTTGCTGCGCTTTCGCTCTAGCAGATTATGAGGTGTACAATAAGGAATTGGTGTGACGGTGGACAGAGTATGGGATATAAAGTATGACACACATGTGCGGTATAAACACGTATGTACAAAGCCTATAGAAAAGTATACAACAGTAAATGGCAATATCTGGGGTGTGACTTATAAATCAAACTTCCTCGTACAGTTTTGAAAGAGCCTTGAAACACATGTACCATATGCCTATAGAATGTTTATCTTGAAGACAACAACTTAGAAAGACGGAAGCTAGAAATTTTATACAATGTAATAGGCGTTTGAATAAAATTTTACTCCAGTTAAAAATTATGTCAGCATATATTTAGAATGTGACGTAGATAGTAATTCAACTTTGTCTCAATTACTTCAGGTCTTTTAATTCTTTCGTATATCTTTGATATTTTAATACGCGACGATGTGAAAGGCCAAAGGATTAGCGACTTCTGTGCGGTATGTATAAAAGTTATTTCAATATCGAGAGCAATTGCATTTTACTCGTTATATTTATAATTAGCCGTGCAGAATAGTGATGCTATAATTAATGTTTATGAACAGGTTATACCATGGAACACTGTAAGAGGTAAGTGAACTAAATCGATATTCTTATGCTTGCATGTGCTGTTTTTGGCGATTATTATATGTACAGAATCTACTATTGTTTCTAAGAGGCATAGGTTTCTCTCATAGTAATAGAAGATCAAGTACAAAATATGTACAGAAGTTATATACAGAGGATATAGAGATACAGAGAATATTATAGGATGGAAAACTAGATACGCGCCAAGTGCAGAGAGTAAGAAGATAGATAACAAAAGTGAATGAGATTTGCTCTTGCAAATATAAAACATAATTTCTACATTATCATATTTTACAATATACTGCAAGTTTTCCCATAAACGAGGCATTCAGCAACAATTGTCTATATTAGTGAACCAAAACAATTTGGAGATGCCTGACGCACTTTTCTGAAAGTACTTCCGTATTTGACTTAAAATATAGAGGCCTTATTCATTTCAAATACAATTTGTAAAATTACTGATTTAATCCACCAGTATAATTTGTATGTTATGAAAGACGCGGTGAGTATATATTATGCAAATCTGTACAGTTTTATTCCGTAGTCCTCTATATTTCTCAAAAAAATGCGATCTATCTTCAGGAATCTTACGTACGTACGTGTCCACGTACCTAGCAGCACGGAAGCAGCGGCCGTACGCGTGTTGATAGATCTAATATATGTATAATACCTATGATTTTTAGATCGTAATAAGACTCGTAGTAATTGCAAGTGAGACTGTTTAACCAATTGGCACTAAATTTCCAGGATCGTCAATGTCTTGATGTATAAATAATCACGATTATTTTTACTTGTATCTTAACATTTATGCTCGAAGTTAATTTTAACAAACGTAAAAAAAGCAGATATCCTATGTATTTAGATATATAGATTTTTCTGTCCGAGTTCCAAGTGACAAGATTATAGAAATTGTTCCAATTTAAAAATGTAAAAGCTGAAATATGATCGACATTCGTTTAAGGGAGAAGCCTACTTCAGTTTGACGACGCTGCCTTCTTAAAATATAGAAGAACCTTTCGGAATTAAATGGAAAGCTCATCGGGGACGCATGCACACTCACCCACTATCAAGTGATTCGTCCACATGCTGACAGCGGCAGGATCTCCTTACACTTTGTTTAGCTTCGCGTCATGTCGAGACTTTCTCAAACATCGAGCAGCGCCCGATTAGCGCGAGCTGATTCAGCTGTATATTTCAAGCCGTCCCTGAAATTATGGAATTAATCTTCAAATTAAACTTAGGGCAATTTCTGCAGACACACGGCTCCAACTTTGCGTTGGAGCGTCGTCTATAATAAATATTTTTCATCCCTGCTTTAAGCTATATCTAATTTCGGAAATAAAATTGTACATTTAAGGTTAGTGCTCAAGCTGAATTAAGTTTTATGCTTGCTATCTTGAATATTGCAATACAAATCTCGTAAATTTTTATTACGTTTATATTTGTTAACAAATTTAATAAATTTGCAAACCAAAGTTTTGACAATTCTTAGGAAAAAAGAATTGATCAGTACATCAATAACTAATTACACTGCATCGGTACTTTTTCTTAAGGGTTATTAAAAATTGTATCAACAACTTGATCTATTTGCAACTGATAAAATGTCACAAGTTACTGATACAATATTATACCGATGCACTAATCAATTCTTTCTCTTATGGAAATGTAATATTATTTTAATTATATACTTTACTCATCTGTTAAAATACTCCTATTTATTTTGAGACTTGCACTTAAAAGTATTTTATTTAGTATAGAGGAAAGTTCTCTATTGTGAGAGATAGGATTCTAATATGAGATAGTAGATTTTCAACGTTCAAATTTAATCACAAATCTTTTTTCGCCACAATTACACGATCTACCAATGAATTCTCCACTAAACAGATTTCACTCCAAGAGCAACAAATTCATGGTGGAACCAACAGATGATGCCTATTAATTTAGCAGAAACCATGCTATCTCATATTAGGGGCCTATCTCATAATAGGGGACTTTCCTCTATATTAAAGTATTACTTTTGTTGTACACCAACATCTTTTATGTTCAATATTCATTGTTATATATTATGTATTATTACATTTTGTGTCATATTTTATTCAGAGTATTATTTCACTCACAATTGGAGCAAAGCAAGAATTGTTGATTACTTGTCTAACACTTTCAAAACTTTTTTCATTCAATTTTATAGATTAAATATTGTTATATTTTATGTGTGTATTGTTTATGCGCAGAATATAGAATTCTAGAATATCTAGAATTCTCTCTCTCTCTCTCTCTCTCTCTCTCTCTCTCTCTCTCTCTCTCGCTCTCTCATTTTACGTTATTAATAATTTAACCATCAAATTTAGCCAGCTATAACAATTAGAATACAGGGCAACACTACACGAAATCCAAAGTGCGTCACTTGTATCTATAAAACAACTGCAGGGCAGATTTAACGCATTCCTATGCCTAATTACAATTAGCACATACTTTTACTGCACTACGAAGCCTGGAAGGGTTGATTCTCTCGCGACAACACGGGTGACCTGTTTTTAAACGTTGTCTGGAACACAAAATCTATCTCTCTTTATTGGTTATTGTCATCCCTCGTGTGTCGTGATCTCAGATTCGATTGCCGACCCTCTAAACGAGATCCGGCAGTCTGCGACTACACCTTCCTCAAGCTGAGACACCCCAGCACGTCTATCGACGAGTCTACATCACCGATGCATAGCGAGGGTGAAACGCGCGTAACGAGGGTACGAGGGTATGCAGCAGGATGCAGTTCGCGAAATGCCACGATGCGACTATGCGGCCGCGATTACGCTGTAAATGCAGCGTACAAGCGCTTTCAGGGTACTGACAAGCGCGCTAGTCAACGCGCCGACCGGAGCGCGGATTCAGGTCGATCAATATGACGAAGTCCGCCAGTCCGTGCCACGTGCTCACGTTGCGGTAACTGTACCGACGAAGCTACTGCTGCTGCTGCTGCTGCTGCTGCTGCTATTGCTGTTGTTGCTCGACAAGGATGTGCATGGTAGCACAATAGCTTTTGCTGATAGTCTTCAAAGCGAAGCTTTTTAACAGAAGTAGTCGTGGTAGTTAAATCAATTGTACATGGTTTGATATTAGACTAGTCAAAGAAACTGTCAATGTTAATTCTGTGTCAGAGTTCGTTGAGAAACAGCGCTTGCGCATTTTGCGCTCATTTTGTGCGACATTTCAAAGCTGGTATCATAATATCTGGGAATCTTGCTAGAATAAGTACACAGAAAATAAAAAGATAGCAAAGAAAGAGATGTTAAGACAGAAAATTTGCTGTAAAAAGAGGGCAAAAAATGGAGTATCAAATTCAGATTTTTGTTGCAAGAAAATTGAAAATTTTCTTATTTCAGAATAGATTTAAATCGTGATTAATTCTGATTAAACCCTTCAAAAAAAAATTATTCTTTCAATTTTATTCTCTCTTAGAAAAGATTGGTAAACTACGGCTTGGCCATACTCAGTTTCTTGATTTTACGGATCATAATAGTTATTAGATAATATTTTGAATTTTACGAATAAACAAATTTGTCATTTCTTTTGTTATATAAGCATTTATCAGTCAACTTTATACTATACTGAAATACATGCTATCGTGTTAAGAAGATAGACGCAGTGAGATAGACAATCGATTTCCATCTGCATCATTTTCTAGTAATTCTGCCTGCCCGAGTCAAAATATACCATAGACCGTAACGCCTAACATCTCACTCTTCTGGAGAGTTACGGAGAATGAATGGAAGTGATGATGAAGCTGTGTGTATGCAGTTCAACTAATTCTAGTTGAACTAATCTGTTGGAACCAGGCTTCTACAATTTAGCGCTTAATAAGGCGGTCTAAAAATACTGATGCGGTAACGTTCTGCATTTATGGTGTCAACTCGATACACGGTACTCTATTGTACAGTAATTTTTAGGAAGTTTGTCTGTATCTTTTTCAGTTATTCGAAAGTATTAATTAAATATTATTTATTAAAAAATCAATTACAATTGCTGAATGAAAACTAAAACTTTATAAAAAGAAATTTAATAAAAAGATATTTACTAAAACAGACTAAAAGCAATTACTAGAAATTTGCTACAGAACTTGAAAAAGAAATATATACAATTGCTTGACAAAAAGCACATTAAAATTTATAAACTTAAGAGAATTTCGATTTTGAGAGAGAGAGAGAGAGAGAGAGAGAGAGAGAGAGAGAGAGAGAGAGAGAGAGAGAGAGAGAGAGAGAG